TATACTGTTTTGTACTGCAACTGTTTTATTATTGTTAGGTTGTCTCACAGTTAACGACAAAGGGAATAATCTATCTATTCAGCCTATTTCTACACTTAAGATCAGTAAAAAACTTTCTCTTATTTCGAAGATGGTTAGTTCGATTCTGAGTAAATTTTGAACATTTCTAATGTGTTTTCAGAAAACTAAACATTGCCACAAGAGCCAGCGTGATCTATAGCCTATGGAGCTTTGGTTGGAGAAATCCAGCACCGCGTCAAAACAACAATAAGCGGAGAGCTAGCTTCTGTACTGCTTTTTCCGTATGTCAAACTTTCACATACGATAGTGATGTCATTCAATATGAAAACAGAATAAATGGCTCATTTTTATCACTGTTCAAACATAGAAGTGTATAAGGAATAAATATTTATACTAATTAGATACGACTATGATAATGATAAAATAGAGAAAGAAGATTATTTAGATTAAAAACATCAAAGATACTTTTTTAACACTTACTCAAGGACTATGGTAGTACGATTAGAATTTTGATCGGCTGCATCACTGAAGAGATAAGTTGAATCATAGTTTTGGAAGGCGTGATAATTGAAGACGGACAGAGCAAACCTAAAAGTCGCTAACACGTAGAGAGATCCTTATGCTGTATAATGACGTTGACTGGGTTAATTTCGATTTGTCAGCCTTCCAAACCTCATTTCTTCAGAAATAAGCATCATACAAATTGGTGCATTGAATAATTTCAAGAGGTAGTTCTCAGTTGTTCACCTGATTTTACGTTGTGTGCCTGTCTGTCTATCCTTCGTATACGTTTTACAAGATGTCAAGGAAACTTTGATTGTAGTCAAGCTTAAAACATTCTGAACTTGCCTTTATTCTAAGAGAAGAAGAATTCCAGAGAGTCTAATCGTGTAGATAAAGAAACACTAAACTAAAGGGATGGTTAAGTTCATGGATAAGTGGCATGGATAAGTTCTCTTTGACGCATTCTTAAAATGATTTTAAGAAGGCGTCAAAGAGAACTTATCCATAGATCTGTTGAGCAATAACTTAATATCGAATAATTTAATTAATCAACAGAACATAGTCAACGTGTTGATCTCGACTCAAACTCAACTTGTCGAAAGAGTAAAATTTCATATCTAAGATTAAAATTTGCTAGTCACCAAATGGACATCTGACAGTAGAAACTTCCGCTTCGAACAAGAATAAAGAACTCTATAACATGAAAAACTATTATGATGAGAAGAAATTGATTTTATTTGAGAAATTCTTCCTAAACGAGTTGAGAATCGAGCCTTTCTCAAACCATATCAGTTGATTTCATTTCACTTCAATCCATACAAAAATGCATCAGTGGAAATCAGTGTCTCTTTTATAATATCGTCTCCAGCGATCATTCGATGAATTTAACTTAGAGCGATCTGTTTAACTTCGAGCATCGCCTAGCAAAATTCTTCTTTCCTTCTTTGCATACCGTTTTTCTACTTCGATTCAGCTACTCGTTCTAAGTTACAGCTGATTGTAGGGTTTCGAGAAAAAGATCAGTAAAATCAACAACGACTGTAGATGACACATTTGAGTTACTTCCTGTGTGGAGCTTTTTTTAAAATACCGCCAGTTCAACAAAATACCGTGGGTATACCGCGCAGTTAACCAACGGTAACTTATTAGACCGCGGTCTAAGAAACTACCGTATGGTAACCGTTTTTATCCATTCACCATTGTATTTTGCACTCATGAAGATATAAAAGAAACACAGAGAAGTTGAGAAACGGGATTTCTTCTTCAGATTAAACTTTCCTTTTGATTATATAGACTCGTCAAAAAGTTTGAACTTCGACTTGAGTCAGATTTCTCTCAATCGGAAGCCTGTCTGCACCTGCAAGTGCTCAAGAATAAAAAAAAGGAAGTTGAAAATTAGTTTCGAACTCCTGTTCTACATGTTCATAATGACTAAATATCAAATGGTACTGGTTGTACCGCCGCTATTTTCGTTTACTACGGCGGTATACCTTCCGGTAATCGCCGGTATTAAGCAAATTGGTTGATTATTATTATATTAAATTGAAATAATCGTCGTCTTGCAAAAGAACGTACGAGATACAAACTATAATGTTTAAAATGAGTTTTTTTTGTTAGAACGTGATGTTGCCCTATGTTCGTCCATATGATTATTAACACAAAAGACTAGTAGATAAAAACCAATGTATAAATCATTTAATATAGATGAACGTTTCGTTGCGTTCTGTTCGTTCTTTCTTTTATTCGTATGGTTGGTCTATGATCGGTCATACTTTGTTTTCTTAAATAAATATGACTAAACATTTGAACATATGCGCTCACTCCCTTTCATGTTGCTCTCTAAATTTTCTTTTTTCATTTTTATCTTTTCATTTTTAAAAACATTAACCGTTTTTTCTCTTGAACGTATGTATATATTAGGGAGTTGTATCGGTCATTACACGCATAATCTAGTATCTTCATATTACGCAGCAACAATGTTCGATATTCAAACTTTAACTTGTTTAAATGATATTCCAGGTAATGTTTCAATTTTGCTTTTAAACAATGCATGCACTAGTACTGCCGGTACATGCACACAAGTATAATCTTGATCTAGGTTGATACCAGTTTCCAAGCAGTGCCGACTTTTTTCAATTGTGTTTTATTGAGTTGGCAACTCTTAATCTGATATTGCACATGTTCTGCCAATCAGACGCCGCTCACCTTCATGATTCGTGAAGAAATTTTGCGAAAAAATCGAGAGTTTTGAATCGGAAGCTTGCATCAAACAGCGATTACTTCGAGGTAAACATCCATCAATACTTTTTCTTCATTAAAAAGTATTTGAAAGTAGTATGCTCTTTATACTATTGCTTATCCCAGGTCGACAAATCTTGTCAACTGATCTTGCAAGACCTTGTATGATCTTACAAGATCATATCATAAGATTTTATATGATCGTACAGGATCTTGTCAAAACTTTATAAATCTTACAAGATTAGAGTCTCCCTAGGTCAAACAAATCGTATACGATCGTATCTGAATCAGACAAAATCGTACGAACATCATATATGAATCGTAGTATCTGATTTTTCCTCTGGATCGTATAATACAATCGTAGTAGATCATATACGATCATACAATTTCGTATGAAATCGTATAGTACGAACCAGAGGACAAATCAGACACCACGATTCGTATGTAAATGGTATATAATCGTATGTGATTTCGCATGATTCGTATACGATCTTGTACGATCGAATAGTACGATTCTATCGCCTGGATCCCTGATTCCATATAAAATTTTCATTCTTATAACCAGATTTTACAGGATCTTGTATGATCGTGTAAGGAGTGACAAGATCTTACAAGATTTCGTATGATCTTGCGATAAGAAATAAATATAAATCACGCCTTTCAATCATAAGATTTTACAAGATCTTGTAAAATGCTACGCTTTCGTGTTACAAGATTTTGTAAGATCCTATCACGTCTTACGAGCTTACCTGGCACGATCTTATGACAAGAAGTCACAAGATTCCGGAGGATCTTACAACATCCTAAAACCTTGTAAGATCATGCAGTAAGATGCTGTTACAAGAGTTCATAAGGAAACAGCAGATCTTGTATGATCTTGTAAGATGAATTTCACATGGGTCGACAATTATTGCTCACTGACATTATTTATTAACAGTTCTTAAAACTGATCAACTAAGAACAAATGACTTCAACTCGATGTAGGTTCTATTGCATAGCTATGTGGAAGATAGCCTGTTTTTTTCGTGAACATTTCCAAGAACCGCTTTTCTTTTCTCTTTGAGAAAACATATTCCTCATTAGTCTCTAAGTCGACACCGATGAGCAAAGAACTACTAGTGCTTTGAGAAATTGTTGTTGACCTGATAATGAACTCTCGCACTACTTTCCATTTCAGAGTACAACACACAGATATTTTTCGAATAACTTTTCAACGAACAGGGATAGAAACGTATAGAAATAATTTACTAACCTCGACCCGATTGATTATTATACAAAATATACATAATTGCTGGATATACAAAAAAAAGAATATCGTAAGGAAAAACACAAACTTTTAAGAAATATTTCAATAATCCGTCCGTTAATTTTTAAATTGAAGTGAATTTTTTTAACTGGTTTCGTTTTTATAGTTCGTTCACATTTAATAGCAAATCTCTTTTTAGTATATTTATAACTCATTGTAATTTAAAGCTTGTTAACCATGTCCAGTAGAAGTAAAAGACAGCATTTTCCAAATAATACCGAAATGATTAAAATACATCGCTCAGTGATGTCTTTTGCAAGTTTAGGATGAGTTCGGGACTATTATTAAGTATTGGGACAAGTTAATTTAAAAAACTGGGACGGATTATTAAACATTTCTAAAAAGTTAGTGTTTTTGCTTCGTTTTTTCTTGTAGACTTAGTAATTATGTGTCTTTAGTACAATCATAAATCGGGAATTTTGACATAGATAATTGTACGTGCCTCACCGAATGTACTGCATGCAAAGTACCAAAACAGGTACCTTGCTATGTGTAGGTTCGGTGTTCTAAATAGCCGATAACTCTTTGGATACCTGTTCAATTACCTTGGTGAACTATACTTCGGTATTTGACTACCTAAAAGGGCTCCGTATGATTCGGTCTAGTCCCATTTTTTGGGACCTGAACCGCTTCGGACCATTTTTGATAAAAGAATTTAAGACCAGGACTAATTTGGATCATAAATTTTTCAGATCACTTTGGACTATGAAAACTTTTTCCTCCTTTTTGAAGATCCATTTCTATTGTGTAACGCAAAACTGTCTAATTTTCAATTTTTATCAAATCTGAAAACAAACTGTTTCTTAATTAAGCGTTCAACGAAGCTTATCTAGTTGATAAACAAAAAAAAGAATTTATCTCCAAAAAGGTTTCCAACCAGGACCAGTTCGAATCATTAAACTTTTTAAAAACTGGGATCAAGTCGGACGAAATGGATTACGGCTTGGTCCTGGACCGGTTCATATGGAGTCCTGCTATCTACAAGGGTATCTGACGACATATTTTCACATAATCCAGCTAAGTTTGAATTAGTTATTTTTGAATAGTTTATCTAGCAGCTGTTACGATTGTGTAGCAGACAACTCCATCTTGTGCATGATAAGAAAGTCGTCTACTTGTTTGCGAAAAGAACTTTATCATTTTCCAGAAATAAATGATACTTATATAGTGTATCATGTAAAATAAAACGATGATTGAAACGTATACGGATAGCTTAGTTCATGTCATTTTTAGTCTGTTTAGGTACTTAGGCGATATTTTTTTATTAGTACTCTAAATGGGTACCCTATAGAGAGACTTATTTAGTATTCAGGTACCTTGGATTCAGTACATCTGCTAGGATGGCCACTCCAAATTCTCTCCAATATAACATTTTTTCTACCTTATCATTTTTTTAGTTGTACACTCATCGGCAGAAAAATTTCACATTGTTTACACAAAAATAAAAGCAGCAAGTCGATTAATTTATTTGGCTGATTCGATTATTTTAAAATCGTTGTCAATTGCTCTCACTGTTGCTAGCCCATTAAAACATCCAGGTATGTGTTCTTCGCTTAAGGAAGAGAAGCTTAAAGAAGATAAGGGTTTTTCCTCTTTTTCAGCAAAATTACTTGATAATTATGTTGCACGTCAAATCAAACAAATTGGAGAAAAGTATCCAGTTCTAAACACGCCAACACAACAAGTATGCCAATTTATATATCTATTCAATCATCTCTGTACAACATCAGTTCTTCTCTACTTTTTAGATTGTCGATGTATTCAAGAAGAAAACAGATCGTGTTCGTCAAGTTGCCAATCGAATTAAACAAGTGTTTACAACACCATTCGATGTATTTCTGCATATTACTGGTGCAAAAAGTCGAACACCGACAGCAAGGACAAAAACAAAAATTAATAACAATTGTTGTTCAAGAGAAGCAGTAGCAGAACTATCGTTCAATGCTGCATCGAAACCCCGTGCAACAGCTCCGATTAAAATTGATCAATGTTCTGTCAAGCGAACAACAAAACAAGCCACACTAGACATTCAACGTCTTCATGCAAAACTCAAACCAACCGATATTGAATTATTCTATTCAAAAGTCAAACCAGTAACAGAATTTTCGACTCATCTTCAACATCGCGACTCTGTTAAATCATATGATGTTCGTATGTTACAATCGGAATTTCAAGCACTCGAACAACGTGAAATATGGGAAAATTTTCGAAAACATGGCGACACAGCAATAAAACACTAAAACACTCTTTAAATGCAATTAGAAAATGATTGAAATATAAAAAATTAAGAAGAAGAATGAAAACTGAACTATAAACCGAAAGTAGCCTTTTTCTACTTCTTTTATTGTAATGCTAATCGCTCTTAACAGATAAATGTCATGAACATCCAGAAAAGTATATCTAGACTATCAAACAGTTCTAGGATGATAATGTAATGTTCCTTGGATGTTTCTATGCCAAAGCATTGCTCATTGTCATCGAATATCAAAGCGATAAGATGACTGTTAAGTTATCTTGATCTGAATAATTAATTAATGACAAAAGAACTAACATTGCTGCTAAAAAAGTTCATTAGATAAATATTTTCTTTTGTAATCTTGGCAAAATGTCTTTTGCACGATGTTTCACAATTAAATACTGTTAACTCCGTTATTGCGATTGCAACGCGTGCTGTTCAATACACTTGGTACAAGTACTTGATTACTTGATGAGTACTTACGACGTACATGACAAGTTAAACACTTTGCAAGTACTTGATCAAGAACTTGCCAAGTATCGTTACTGAACTTGCTTCAGCCAAGTACTTGGACAAGCCAGTTATCCTCTTCTTTTCCATTGATCGGTGGTATATAAACAGCACAATATCAATCGTTATACATTTATAAAATAAACTTATATATTTCTACTGAGTTGAACAAGCTTAAGAGCCGTGCTTGTATTTGCTCTACAGAAGTAGAGTATGGCTGTCGAATATGTACAAAATACAAAATGAAGATAAATGGAATAAGTATTTGACTGAAGCTTTTGATGTAAATTTACTTAAATTTTCCTGTTCTCGTTACTCTCCTGCTCTCCAAATTGTTCTCATTACTTAATCCAAGTACTTGTGCAAGTATCTGGCTCAAGTACATCCACTAGGGTGGCTATCTAGAGCCATAGTCGAAATATGGA